GCATGTATTGATTGTTCAGGGGAGATTCATTGTGACAACTCCAAACACCCGCATATTGTGCATTGGTCAGATGGCCCCCACCAATTCTTCGCTTTTAGCCCCTCCCCAACCTACTTAAAGCAATTGCAAGAGGTTTCATTGTTCTATTTTATATATGTATATGAAGCCCATCAACCATATCCACTCACCTTCATCTCCTCCATTCACTGTCCCCTCCCACAAGTACCCCCACACTGTACCTATTTTACAGTCCTGTCTTTCATTTTTAGTTTCAAAGTCAGTGCTCCAAGCGGTTTCTCGAAGCGTCCCAGCTGTGAATGTACTTTACTTTAGGCAGTTCGACCCCCTCTATTATTTTCCTTACCCTTTTTCTCCTGTCCCCTATTATTCAGAGCACACTGCTATGTTCTCTACCTGGATGCAATATATTTAGTTTATACTATTTGTTCACATAAAAATTTATAAATTTATAATCCACTTCTACTTACACCTAATTCTTCAGTTTGAATTTCTAATAAATTATAGGGAAAGAATCCATCCTGCACCTCAGTTTGTAATTTTATTGTTCTTTTGTTTGGGCATATTTAAGGAAAGAAAGTCTTCCAGTAACTAACTTCATAATTTGTGGTACACTACTATTATAGAGAACATAGCCTTGCATTTTTCAAGTGGGGATTTACTTTCAAGTGCCACCTTGGGTATTCATAAACTCTATGTTTGGTAATATGCCAGTAAATTACAGATATTTTAATGTATGTATACTTTCATTTAAGAAAGGCACATCAAATTACAGATCTAGGCTTTGCCTTTCTCCCCTGAAATTTTTTCTTTTCCTCTAATTTGGGTCATTTATGGGCTTTTTATTTCCTACAATAGTCTTTTTTTTTTCACAGAATGTTAATAGGTCAAATAATAAGGGCTATTGTACCAAACTCTTAATGCTCAAAACTCAAAAACAAACTGATTACCTATACATAAACTTTGTAAAACTTGTATCAGTAGACTTAGTTTCAGGCATCTCCCTACACAGGGTAACCAATGACACTGAGAATAGAATAGTGAAGAAACATTTGAAATCACCTAAATTGATCATAATGTAACTAAAAAAGATGGGTTTCCCTTTAGCAGAGATAAGTGAAACACCCCAGGCTTTTCATAGTCCTTAGAGGAAGGGAAATACTGACCTTCCAGCAGACCAAAAGGAGCATCTGCTGAAATACAAAAACAATTCAAGTAAAAAGTTGAATAGGGGAGATACTTTTACTGTTTAATCCATACTCAAATTTCCTTTGATTATGCATTTGTTATGTAATTGCTTTCATACAATAGTAGCTCTGTTGTTACCTACTTTTACTATAAAAAGATGAAGAGATGATACTTAAAACATGATATAATTAAGACTCAAGAGGAACTTTATTTGCTATTAATTGTGTGCTTTATATTCCATTGTTCTTCTTGTTAAAATATTATCAAGACGATGGAATATAAGAATTAGCAATTGCCCTGACCGAAGCATGCAAGTTATAGCCTACTCCATGTCCTTAAAATGATGCTTGCAGATGTATCTTTATGTTACTGAAATATAGAAAGTCATATGATATATCTAAGTGGTTCGCAGGAGTGTAATCACCCACAGTAATTTCTCTTATATTCTTGAGTAGCATACACTCTATACAGATCATCTGGAGAAATATTGATTTAAAAGAAAATGTTAATATTGCCACTTTTGCCAGTAATACATAGTCTTTAGGTATTAAACATACTGTTAAAATGGACATTTGTATTTTCTATTACTTTACAAAATTTCAAGTCTACAGATGACATAACCATTCACATAAATTTTTGATACATGATAGTGATTATTTTACTAATCACAAATAATTTTAGCTATACTTTATTTCAATTTTGTTTTGTAGTTTTATTTCTATGGTACTTAATATGAAAGCCTTTAAAATTTGGGAGACCAACCCTGTTATAAGCCTTGGTTAAATATAAGTCAGTGGTGAGGTGAGATTGATGGTCCTATGACTTTCCTTAGCCTAAAGCAAGTGTCACTACCATGTCTTACTTCAAAGGTCATTGCAGAGACTAGTTCCTCTGCCATTTCCTCATAATGTCCATGCTACAACAAGTGATGTTCCATTAGGATAAAAAAAGAGGATGATTGAACACTGACTGAATCATGTCATCCTGTTGATTGCCCATTACCTTGCCTGGTTTTGTTTTAAGCCTTCATGAATACATACAATTAAAGTTTTAAGCACTTCAGAACAGTAGACCTACTTCAGTTTGTTTAAAATTTTATTTTTTAACTTATTAAATGGAAATCTTGATTTCCTTTTCTTGCTTATTTTGACCTGAAATTTTCCCTATAATTGACAGTAAAATTCCAACTTCTTAGCAGATTCCCTCTTCCTATTGCAAAATCTGTATGACCACTTTCTCTCCATGTTGTGTGTGTGTGTGCATACACACCTATATGTTATATATGACATTATATATTCCTTGATCTTGTCATGAGCAGAGGATGAAAAAGCTTAGAAGATTCATCCTGTCAGAAATCACCGAATTAAAGACATGATTTTTCTATTTATTCTTGCAAGATCTAATCAATTGGATTTCTGTGTCAATGTTCTTTTCCAACTGCCTTCCCTTAAATCTGACCTCATGTGTTATAATCTGAGGTTTTGGCAAGGCAGAGCACTTTCAAAAGTAAGTTCAACTTTCTTATATGCTAAGAAAATTAATAAATTTAGATATAGAAAAATATCTATTTGGAAATTTTCTGCTGATAGTAGAATAGCTGTGTGGGATTAAATAAAATAAAGTTAATGGAAAGGGTTTTGAGTGTTTTCACTGTGTAGAAATGAAAAATGTTTGAGAAGTTAGATAGGCTTTCCCTGAATTAAACATTATAATATATATATTTACATGCAAGTATTACATAGTATCCTCTAAATATGTACATTTTTTGGCATGTCAATTAAAACAAATTAGAAATTTAAGCAATAAGTTCTGGTTGATACGTGTACTATTTTTAATTTTTTATGTGATTTTTCACAATTTTAATTCTGTATTTCAAAGAAATGACCTTTATGGTATGCTCATGAGATTTTTTTAGAGTTTGATAAATAATTTAGTGAATATAAAGAAAACAAATACAAGAAGCTAAGCAGACAACAAGATAATGAATATTGGGGAAAAGTATGGATCAAAAGGTATTATCACAGCAAATTAAATATCTTTATTTAATTTTGCACAGCAAAATTAAAGGTATTATGTATTGAATGAATTATAATGATTATTTATCAGATACAATACATTAGTAAATTATATTGAAATTTGTTGACTATAAAACATCTTTAGTTACAGTTCACACAAACCAATAACCCATCAAATATGGTTCTGATTGCAAATAATTTAATCTTTTATTTTATGGTGGATTATATCATCTTCTTTTATGAGTTGATCACTAAACATTGTGTTATTGAGTAAAGCAGACAGATATGGCTTCTTTTCTGATTTTGATCAAGACAATCACATTTACATTAATTAAAATTTTGCTATTTAGCAAAAGCAGTTATAGACAGGGGCAACTATGTAATTTTGATAGTTACAATAGAGGAATTTACAAAGATATAATATTTTAAAATCTGCAATTGCATCCAAAATTATCTGTTCAATTAGAGGGGATGAAATATCTCAGAAGAGGATTCTAAAAACCTTTATCTCTCTGTAGCTTTTCAAGATTTTTCTGCTTAATTTTATGATGTTGAATATAGCTCTGGTGTAATATATAACGGACAAGATATTCAGAAACGTGATACAAATGATGAGAATGTTATAAGGTAATATAAAACTTTGATTTGAGGTTTTATTTTTTAAATTAATTTATTTTTTAATTATTTATACATATATTCATAGGTGCATAAATTGTTGGGCCATCTACCCCCACAACCCCTTTCTCTCATCTCCCTCTACCCCACTCTACACTCTTCCAAGTCCCCTGCACTTCTAGGCAGAACCTGTTCTGCCCTTTTCTCCAATTTTGTGAAGGGAAAACTTAAGAGATAATAAGAAAAGCATAGCATTTTTGCTAGCTTGAGACAAAGATGTATATACAGAGAGATACCTAACATTGCTTTCATGCACATGTATATTACAACACAAATTGGTTCATCTCTACCAGACCTCTTCAATCCTTCCTGGTTACCTACAGTGGCTTCTGTCAGTTTGATTACTTTATGTGCTCCTCTACAGTGGCCACATCAAGCACTTTCAAGTTTTAGATTTTCTTCCCTTTCCCTATTCCTCCTGTATGGATACTCCCCTTAGTGTGTGATCCATGTCTAATAATATTATTGCATTTGTTTTAGGTCTATAATCTGCATATGAAGGAGAACATATGATTTTTGGCCTTCTGAGCCTGGCTAACTTTGCTTAAGATGATGTTCTTCAGTTTCATCCATTTACTTGTGAATGAGAAAATTTCATTATTTTTTTGTGGCTGAGTAAAATTCCATTGTATATAAATAAATGGTCCAATTTGATGAAGATTCAGTTTTGTGACACTTCTTTAATCTGACTGAAGTATCTTACATTGGAGGCTGGTACTCTTCATATTGAGTTCCATGTATCCATTAATTTATGTAGAAATAATTGATATGGAGCAGACAAGATACTTAGAATTCACTTATTTACATCATTCTTATTTGTTGAATACTAGAAAAGATGAAAGAATGATTTTATTCCTACTGTGTAAATATCTCAAACGAAACCGCTAATGTTTTTCTTTGAAAGTTGGTGTTTGGAGTTGGAAAGCTAACACAGAGGTGAAGAAAACAACTGTCCACAAAATATTCACTTCTTAGATGACATTTCTTTTTTTTTCAGAAATTTCCCAAAAGGTATTAATGTGAAATTATTTTACTCAGCATTGTAATAAACTGATTTTGTCTTATTAAAATGCATTAAATATAAGTATATGTATTTTTTTATAGCAATGGTTGCTTTGAGCCACCTGGAACCAAATACAACTTATGAAATCAGGGTTGCAGCTGTAAATGGAAAAGGGCAAGGAGACTACAGCAAAATAGAAATCTTTCAAACATTACCAGTTCGTAAGTATTCATTTCTGTTTTTGTTTCTGTTGCCATTTTCAATCAGTGCAAATTTAATGGGATTTTTAAATGCGAGCAGATACTTCAACACTTTGGGAAAGTGAATTATGGCTCTCTTGATGTTCTGTAGATGGCTGCATCTCAGATTTTAAAAAATAGCTTTGTTGTAAAGCTAGCAAAAAAGAAAAGGTACACAAAAATATACACAGTAGAAATTACTTCTCAGAAAATTGTTCTTATTGATAATCTGATTAATTAGATTTTAGACTTCACAATACATTCATTGAGAAACAGAAAAATGTTTATGTAACATGCCTAATATTGTTTACTTTTGATGAGGAGTAACTACTTCCTTTATCCAACAAATTATGTAGGTTCTAAGTTCAAAAATAAGAAAACACTAAATTAATCTGTTTACAATAGTGACCAAAGAAAGAAAATGACTACTGCAGCCTTTTTCTTATAACTAACCTGTTTTGAGTTTTTGTAAGTGAATTACATTTATAGACATTAAGATTAATTTTAAAAAGCACATTTTCCTTCATATTGAATATATTTTAGAGTGTAAGCAAACTTAATGAAAGTGACAGAACAAATTTTGTTTCAAAATTTGTGTATAAACCTGCTTACTTTTTTGTATAAACATATGAGGGCAAACAAATTCTCCATCATTTATTATCTTATTCTAATGTGACCAACAATGTAATATGAGTTCTCATAAAATCTGTCTGATAAATTCCCTTCTCTCTTTCAAGTGTTGTTTTCAGTTCCTTTTTTACCATGATTGCTCCCAGCATTTACATCTCAACTCCTTATCTACTTCCTGTCTAGTGTTTCCCTAGTCTATCTTCTCTGCTTAAAATTCTCAACAACATCACCTTCACCTTTGCTCCTTACATGTAGACAGACCTTTGCCTGCCTTTCTACCTCTTTCCTTTAGCAACTCCTTCAAAGCTCCCTCCCCCAGGAGGTTCAATGATAGGATACTTGGGTTGATGTTGTGTCCTTGCCCCACGTAACTGGGCTTTCTGTTTCGATTTTCTCTTTGCTTCTAGTGACACCCAGGGTCACTCTAAATCAGTTCACAACAAAAGTATGACCATTCCTATAAGACCGTGTATAACCTTTACAGTTTTATTTCCTCCTACATTTAGAGTCACCTTCCTTTTTTCTTTAACCAGAGGCCTGAGTGCTTGAGCTCTAAGTCACCACTCTATTTTTTATTCCTTTTAAATTATAATGCTTCTAATCTCTTAATGTATCATTTTTGTTTTGTCAACCTATGGCCAACATGGTAAGCAATTTGATAGTTTGAACATTTATGTTGTGTGTGTGTGTGTGTGTGTGTGTGTGTGTGCTGTAGTGGGAAAAGAACCTGGCCCCTCATGAATGCTAGACAAACACTCTTCCACTGATAATACACTCTTTAGATCCACATTGTTAAAAAAATAAGTGTGTGTTTAGCTGCTTCTCAGGATTGTTATGAAGCTCAAATGTAGTAATATATGAAAAGTATTTGATATACCACAACTGTATGTCATAACATTATTTTTGATATTATTACTTTTGCATAAGAATTCTCTTGTAAGCACAAATAGAAATTACTTTTTTTCTCTCCAATATAACCAATCTTACATTTATTTTAATTTTTTTAAAAAGAAGTATAGATATAATAGGATAACCAATTTGATATGTGTTAAAGTTTAAATTTATGTGTGAATATTTGAAATATGTATATAAAACATTTGCTATTAAAATAACTTTTCTGATTTAAAAGTGTCCCAAAATTTTATATTAAAATAATATGCTTACCATACCATTATTAAATGACTGTATGTTATACAACATTCTCAGTTCAAATTTAGAATTCATCCTGAGTTTTAAATTCTATTTTATAGAGATCTAAATTTAGATCTCTCACAATCTCATTAGATACTTTAATAAATTAATACATTCTTTTTATAGATGTTTTCAATCATTTTTGAAGAATGTTTTATTGCATGCATGCAGAGCATGTCATGTCACAATAGCTATATGCTAATTTAATTAGGTTCACTTTAAACAATCACTATATAATTTTTCTATTCAGCATTTCTGTATAGCTTTCCCACACTCAGCTATGTTACAACATTTATGCCAGTACATCTTCTTGGTGGTACTGGGATTTGAACTGAGGTTTTAACACTAAAATTTGTGTGTATGATATTTATAACTATACGTATACCCCTGTCCATTCTCATGTCCATAGAGAATTATAGATAATATAGACAGACAAATGCCAGTGGATGACCAAACCCATCAGATGGGTGGCACGCAGCAGGGACTTCCTATTCCCAGTTACCAAGCAGTAATGTTATCCTTCACATAGAAAATGCTTTACCCCAGTGGACTCCTGCTCTATCTAAAATGCTATCAGCATCTTTGTGTAACCCTATCTCTATGTGAAGGATGGCATCAAAGATATATATGTTCATGAAGGTAGAAAATAAAATATGATAATAAATGTGCATAGAACTGGATACTAAAGACTTTCTTCAAATATGTATGTAGGAAAGGAAATGCTCATTTAAGTACATAACTAATTTCAATCCATTGTGTTTCATATACATCTTAATATAGCAAATAAAATTTAATGTGTTAATATATTTAACTGAATATGTTTATAAAATATTTACAAATTTACATTAACAAGGTAAATAGGATCACAAACTGTTAAGATAATAAAAAGTAAAGTTTATAGTTGAATAATTATTGTTTCCAGGCCTTTTGTACATCAGAATCAACAATACATTTGGTCTTGAGATTTCAAAAATTTGGCCTGATACTTCTAGATTTATGCATGTTGCTGATTCTTGGATGGGTAAATGAGGATCAGAGGTTACATCATAACAAACGGAAAGTATCATGCATTTAACCTATGGTCACATCATGCATTTTGATAACATGACAGTGTTCTTTTCATTGAAATGCAGTTTGTCTAGGTATGTGAAATATGTGCCAATGGAGAAATGTTGTATTGCATGTCTAGGTGAACCAAGTCCTCCATCCATACATGGACAGCCAAGCAGTGGGAAGAGTTTTAAACTTAGCATAACCAAGCAGGATGACGGAGGGGCCCCTATTTTGGAATACATTGTAAAATATAGAAGTGTAAGTATCTTTTTTATTACTATTTTGTATTGGGATTTTTCACTACATTAAGGGGCACATTGAGTTCATAAAACAGAAATGAAAATATTTTCAATGATACCTACTAATTTTCCATTCTTGCAATACATCATTAGAAATAATGATATTTTTCTTTTGATAAAATCTATGTATAGAGCAGCAAAATAAATTCATGGCTTTTACCTTGTGATTTCAGCCTGTGAAACACAACTGGCTAACATTTCAGAAATAAAATATCATTTTCCCTACTTTCCTGACAAGTTTTGCAAGTTATTTTTGTACCAAGCATTCCACTTGACATTATTTACTTAAGGTTAAACCCTTTGTCCACCTTAATTAATTTAGGTAGGATTATTAGAAATTCAATTCTAAGTTATTGAAATCAACTGGTCAGATTGATTTATCCTTCACATTAAAAAAATAGTCACAGTGAACTTTAAGAAAAGGGAATCAAGAACGTGAATATGGGTGATGTATTTTCTATACAAGAATGAATAAAGAATTTTTCAAACCTGTTGAAATCACCATAAGAAAGGAACTAAGGTAGAAAAAAGAAAAATATAGGGCATGAGCAAATTTGATTTATGATACATATATACAGAAAAGTCACAAGGAAATGGCTTGGAGAGCTATCTCAAATAAACATACATGCTTTTTTTTTCAAAAATAGAGAACAGGAAAGTAAAATAGGTCCTGTCCAAGGATTGGTATCAGTGTGTGCGTTGGGGAGGACATTGGAAAAGGGTGAAGGAGACTGAATGTAGTGAAAATATCATGTACTCAATCATGTATGAAAATGAAAAAATGAGGCATGCTGAAACTATTCCAGAAATGGGTGCAGGGAGAGATAAAGTAGAATGATAGAGAGGGTACACTCAACTGTAATGTATTGTAACCACCTTTGTAAATTTCACAGTGTACCCCCAGGACTACAATAAAAAGTAAAGCAAAAATAGAAAAATGAAGTAGTTTTCTTCAGTAAGGATTTATGACTGTTAAGAGCTGCATGGGACCTTTATGTAAATGTGGTGGAAGTAGAAGGAAGTCTACTGGTTGCGGAAAGATGATGGGTGTTTCCCAGTTCACTCTGACTCTGCCTTTAGCTGAAAATGATGCCAAAGGAAACAAAAAATGTTTTTCTCCTCAAAACCTTTCCATATATAAAATTACTTGTGTCTATTTTAGAATATGTAAAAATATGTTTCTTAATAGTATGTGGATAATTTTTTAGTATTTTTCTACAATCTGCAATTTCTAAGTTGTATTTTATTGCTTCTAAATTCAAACCACTAGGCTTTGAGGAGTAATAAAAGAGAATTTGATTTTGAATGGGACACTACAAAAAAATTAATTTTAGATAGCATTTCAGTCTTTTCATTTAATATTAATGTTCCCTACATAGACAAATCTTTGTCCTAGATTTCATGCCTACAATTGAAGAGACACTAGTGTCTTTTGTATGCTTTTCTGCAGAGCTTGATGCTTCTACAGTCATCTCTGAAAGGTTCACTGGACTATCAGAAGAATGTGAAAGTGTCATGCCACTTAGGACGCTTCTAAATTCAAACCACTAGGCTTTGAGGAGTAATAAAAAGAGAATTTGATTTTGAATGGGACACTAAAAAATTAATTTTAGATAGCATTTCAGTCTTTTCAATTTAATATTAATGTTCCCTACATAAGACAAATCTTTGTCCTAGATTTCATGCCTACAATGAAGAGACACTAGTGTCTTTTGTATGCTTTTCTGCAGAGCTTGATGCTTCTACAGTCATCTCTGAAAGGTTCACTGGACTATCAGAGAATGTGAAAGTGTCATGCCACTTAGGACAGGTGTATGGCCATCCTCATTTATTCATTTGGAAACACTCTGAAACATAGAGTCTCTCTCAAAGGGACAGATTCATGATAAGAATTCCTGAATTGGACTTGAAGAAAATAGCATTCTTTCCTATTATGGCCTACCTACAGTTGTACCTAAAAGAATTTATGGTACACAAAACCTGTAAATATGAAGACTTTTTAGGAAATGCAGGTAAAATGCCAAAGAGAATATTTACATGAATTGTCTAGATGTGAGAATGTGTCTAATATATTTTATGTGTATATTTCTTTGCTTAAAATGAAAGTTATACTTGATGGTCTTATTTTTGAGGGGGTAGATTGCAGGGTCATACCATGTGACATAGGCTGTCATGACCTTACACCAGATCCTCTTGCTTTAACCTCCTGAGTGCTGGGATTAGAAGCATGGGCCAGCACTGGGGCTTTTGAATGTAATCAAATGTGCTGATACTGTAAATAACACAAATGCACTATCCACAGTAATCAGACTTGTTGATTTCAACTGGTGAAAGAAAATATTTGTTAGCAATGCTATATGTTTTGTTTATTTCTTTTTAAAATGTTGTTTATTTTAAAAAGTTGGCAGTGTTTTAATTTCCATTAATCCAAATGTGAAATTTGGAACTAAGAACAGTAGTGGACATAGCATGCATCTTTCTCAAACTACAAATTCAATAAATGGTGTTATATATTTACTCATAAGCCTAGTAGTATTTTATTTGCAGAAGGCAGTCGGTAGTTTTGACAAAGATTTTACTCTTAAACTTAATATAGAGTATTTATTTGTAAAATATACATTTGGATTCCAGGAAAAAGAAAATATAAACACAGGAATTAAATTAGGAACATTTTATCCTGGAATTAAATTAGTTCATTACATAATCCAGGATTAGGGTAGCATTCCAGCAATATAATCAGGAATCCATATTACTTTTATTCATATTATTTTATTGTAACACATTGTCTTTTATCCCTACCTTGATTTTATGGTTTTCCTAAGGCTTTATGTCTACATTCAGAGTGTGACTAATCTACAAAGAACTAATGGGGGGATATGAAGGAAAATATGGAGTGGATGAATTAAAGTATGGTTTATTTGATATAATGTAAGAAGTTCAGCAAATGCTGCAATATACCTCCACCCAGCACAATAGTTAAAAAATAAAAAGAACAAATGGACCAATAAACTACTTCAGTTAAATCTGTCCCTATAGCAGCAATACTGTAAATATTATAAAGTCCCAGTAAGCAAAATTAAAATTATATTTCATCACATTGAAATAAATCTAATGGCCCCTTCAAGAAAAGGTCATTAACATGAAGATTTGAAATAGCTAAATAAGCCTGCCTTGAATTGTAAGTGTGATTATTTTGATCATTTTAATTTCTGCTTGTATCTGAAAGACACAATATTGACATCTTGGATTGTATAGCAATTGGTTTTCCATATCTCTATTACCCAAAGCAAAATATCTCACATAGCTGGCTCTCCTTCACTGCATTGCCCGTAGCAGTCCCTGTCATGCATATGTGTGTGTATATGCATATGTGAACATATGACATGTTTTCACTTTACATTAAAACAAAAATTTGTATTTAAAACATAATTTTGTATTTAGTCTCACATATTTCAATATGGATTAGAAATAATTCAGATAAGAAATTTCTGAGAAGTTATGTGTGAAATGCATTTGGAGCCAAATAATTAAGTTGGTAATCATAATGAGATTAGTAAAATTGGAGAGATTCACATTTCTGTAACAATCATCTGCAAATACTTGATAAAGCATGGCTGATAGAACTCAGTTTTAGGTTAAAAATTAAACCATAGAAGAATTTTTCTTCAGTTAACTTCTATTTTTCATTTTATTGCCCTTCTCTTTCTCCTCTCAATCTATTGATAATAGTGTCTTATTATTGCCTCCTATTTCCTCGATGATCGTGTTTGTTTTCCAAACAAAAGGAAGTTTTTGAGCAGGGCATGGTGTTGTGCCTTTAATACCAGCACTTTGGAGGTAGAAGCAGGAAGATCAGGATCACACAGGTCAGCCAGACCTAAACAGAGAGACCTTGCCTCAAAAAACAAATGAAAAATTGTTTTCTCTCAGTTCTATCGCATTCCTGTTTTGTTGTATTCCTCCTCTTCAGTTTCAATCTCCAGCCATTTATAACTCCAAAATATAGTAGAGGATCTCATTTTAAAAGTGTAATAAGAATTTTATTGTATTAATTCAAACAATATGTATATATTAATGTATATATATATTTTTTCTCCTTTCCTTTTCTATCCCCTTCATCCTGCCTACATCATGCTCTGGAGATTCTATGATTAATAAATATTATATTAATGAGGTCAAACAGTAGCTTGTCTTGGAAAGGGATGGTTTGTCCACATCTTCTTTCTCCACATATAAAACATGATTTTTAAGAGGATTTGTTACTATATGTTTATAGCAACATTTGCTTGATCTTCGGCATTTGTCTTGAAATAATAACTTTTCAGAAGACTTTGTTATCATCTGTTCTTTTTTTGTATGATCCTAAACTTCTTCATCTATTAGTTTTGCCGAATTTATGGATTCCACAGTAAAGCAAAGTTCAAATAAATAGTTTGAAAATGACTTTTATAGGCAATGGCTTTTTAACCTTTTATTATCCTATATTAATTATACAAATATTTGGTTTCATTGTGATATTTTCATACATGCATGTAACATAGATGGAACATATTCAACCCCTCATTACTCTCTTTTCTCCCCTCCCTCCTCTTGCCTTCCTCTTGGTCAACTTCATCTTCCATAATATTTGCCCCTCTACTTTTATGTTTTGCAATGCAGTTTTAATTTTCTATTGGGAAAAGCAGAAAGGGAAATACCAAAAATAAGAAACATCCCAATCTTTCAACCAACTTTTGCCACTACTTTGCATAGGAATATGTGTTATACATTACTGCAAGCATAACAGATTCACTATATTCTTTATATGATTGTTGATTTGTGGCAGACATTGAATCTAAGAATTTGATTTGAATTCACTACCAAAGGCAATACTACCCTTATATTAATATAGCTAGGTACAACTTCATATAGATTAAACCCAGGAAGCATACATTGTCCTGTGTTATCCTGTGATAGAGT